AATATATATAATATATATATAATATATATAATATATATATAATATATATAATATATATATAATATATATAATATATATATAATATATATAATATATATATAATATATATAATATATATATAATATATATAATATATATATATATAATATATATAATATATAATATATATATATATATATATATCGTATCAAAACTTAAGCTACGTTTGTTATAAATTCTCGTGAGATTTATCCCTATGCTTTCGGTTTTCACAAATTTTATTCTATTATCATTCGTTACATATCACTGATCACTGCTATCGATATACAAACACTCTTTCACAATCTTTCACAATTCACATCAATTCCTTCTTTTGACAATCTCACTCGTATTTATACGCTCTGACTTTTCATACTGTTGGAACTTTTTTCCCAGAGGAAGTTCAATGTGTGACGCACATTATTCACATCTTCCTCGCTTGGTTGACCACAAGTCAACCCACAAACTTCCCTTACGTACCTACATTCCGTTTTATTTACTAAAATGTTTAAAGTTCCTGTTTTTGTTTAATAATGTTCGTATTTCCTGTTATTCAAATTTTCCAGTTTACTTCATACATATTTTTGGTCATAACATTGGCATGCACATATATAAATTTTTACTATATATTTTTACTGAATCTAATTAAGCTACTAATTTACAACAATGTTGCTTCATTCGCGAAACCTTTCCTTTTCTTTTCCTTTCTTGTCTTGTCTGTCTTTTCTTGTATACAGCTATTTAAAAAAATGTTGTCCTTTGCAAACTTTAAATTCTCAGCGTGCAAAGCATAATGAGAGCATCATTTAATCAATTTAGAATCATATATGGGGCCCATTCCTTACGAAAACAATTCATTCACACTAATATAGCTGCAATATTCGACTACATCACCTAAGCTTGAAACTTCTGCTCCTTTTACAGTAAGCTTTTCGTGCTTAGAGTTTAAAGTTTAAGGTTTGGAGTTATATGGTTTGCAAATGACTACCTTCTTTTAATTGTGACCAAAAAAGATAAATTAGTTTTTGAGCGGCTAATTACATTGAGAGTTTATATCCTGGATAAATTTTAACCTTGTTAACCCATGACATGTTGACATTGTTTCATTATCACATGCCTGACAAATGCGAATGAAAAAATGTGACTTATACAATTTCAGTTAAAAACGGATGTTTGTCATTTAATCCCTTGCCAAGTTTTAAGAACAATTTATTTAAAACATATGTATTAGGTTAGTGAAATTATTTCAAAAACTCATTGATAATTCATGCGGAAAACACACAGAAAAATCATAAGCCCGCCGCACACAAGAGCAACGCGAGGCGGTTAGCTCAGCAAGTAGCTCTCGTGTGCGGATAGTTTTCGTGACCATTTGACCTCTTGAGGAAAAATATCTATCGTGTTTGATATTTTTCACCACGCGAGGAAAAAATCTCAGCTAAGTGCTGAGCTGTTTGAATCAATTAGCCAATGACAAACCATAGTTTCTTCATGTGACATAGAACAAAATGGAGGAAAATGCAAATAATTTTGTTAATTATGTTGTTGTTGAGTAGTTTTCCCAACGTGTGCGGTGAAAATACATAGCTGAGCTAGCTGCCACTTGAGGCGGTAAGCTCAGCAAGTTGCTCGCGTGTGCGGCGGGCTTTAAGCGTGTTGTATCTTCATCCCAGCATGCAAAATGATGTTTATCCAACGTTAAATCAACATGGAAAATGACCTTCCAGACGTTGGATAGACGTTGAAAAAGGGTTGACTATGCAAATTGGATCGACGTTACTGTTTCGACGTTGAAACAACGTTGAAATTAGGTTGCCAATCTCGTCAACCATAATTCAACGACGTCGTACATTTAGCCATGAATGAACGTTAATTCAACGTCTGTTAATTGGCTGCTGTTGAACCAATGTTTCTAAAACAACGTCAGAGCAACGTAGATATTAGGTTGTCGACGTCGCAACCTTTTTTCTACCAAATTTCAACGTTGAAACAAGGTCGTGTGCCCGGTGGGATATGTGTGATAGAGATTTCCCTTTCCCGTTTTTTGAAAATTACTTTGCCAAAAAACTTATTACTAGATCGATCATTTTTGAAGCAATTTAAACACTCGCAGTGTGTGTTTTGTCAGACCTAATTAAAGATAAAATAAATCATTGCTGCTCACGTTTTAGATAGCACTTAAAAATCAAACCCAAAGGCTGAATGGAAACGATAAGAAAAGAAAAGAAAACAACCGCCATGCAAGCTTTTACCAACATCCGGCAAAATCTGTAAAGTGGCGACGCCACCATAATCCCGTTTTGCTACGCCGACATTCTTCACTTATCAGGTAAAGTCAAGCCAAACTTCATCTCAGCTCACTTTGGTGCCGACGGCCTTTGAGACCACGGTACATAAAAGGAAAACCGCGCCCACCCTAATAATAAGGTAAACTAAACGTCATGACATAAGGAAGCAAGCACTTCAGGTCACTTGAAAAAATCAACACTGTAATTATACTTAATTTTTTTATGTGATAAAAAAGAGATTGACAGTTATTTTGTTAGGAATAAAAAGCCATAAAAGTTATTTGTTTTCTTAAATGATTTCAGCTTGCGCGATTATACGTCGCAAGAAAAATATTGCACAAAAGTACACTTTACTTTAGCATTGTCTATTATTGGAAATTTGGTAAACGTTTATAGTAAGCGCTCGAATGAGCAAAACGTGAAGCGAAACAACATTGTCATTGGAGAAGAATCATAACTGTAGTCAGGTGGGTGTAAATATATTATGTGTCGTATCAAAACTTAAGCTATGTTGCTTCGTTCGCGAAACGTTGCCTTGTACTTTTTTTCTTGTCTTGTCTGTCTTCTCTTATATGTATACAGCTATTTTGAAAAAGGTTAACCCCTTTGCAAACTTCAAACTCTAAACGTGCAAAGCATAATGGGAGCATCATTTAATCAAAGTCAATTCCTTACGAGAACAATTCATTCACACTAATATAGCTGCAATATTCAACTAATTAGCCTGCGAGCAGCTAAGCTTGAAACTTGTGCTCCCTTTACAGTAAGCTTTTCGTGCTTAGAGTTTAAAGTTTAAGGTTTAGAGTTAAGGTTTGCAAATGACTACCTTTTTTTAATTTGCTGTTTTAACTTTTTTTTACAAAAAAACAAAAATTACCTATTAGTCGAGTGTTGAGTGTCGAGAGTTTAATGTTGAGGGCGAGGGTAAAAAGTCGAGGGTTAAATGTCGACTGCTAAATGTTGAGAGTAACGTGTTAAATGTCAAATATTAAATATCGAGGGCGAAAAAATCACGGTAAGATACTAAAATAAGGTCAGCGGAAGAAAAAATATACGCTACAAGGTACTATAAAATGGGAAATGTATGAACTTGAACAGTCGTTCATAAAAACATTACCTATTCGCGTGAGAATCTTCGATGTTTATCAAGAGCACCGTTGACAGGTTTTGACGGATCCGATTAAAAATCTGTTGAACAACCAGATCTAAGCTTTGAAACCACCAAATGATCATGATCATCACAAACATTGAACTTTCTCGGTAAAAACATTGAACTTTGTCATGAGAATAGACAATGTTTTATCTGCAACCGTTCATTGTCATCCTTAGTTGCAAGCGACGGTATTGAACGAGTCCACGTATTACAAATCTCAGTTTGCGATCTGTAAAACACGGACTCAGTCCCGGTCCAGTCCCGTCCAGTCCGTATTTTGCAAATTCAGTCCGCGATTTGTAAAACGCAGACTCAGTCCGCGTTTTCCCAGTCCGGTCCAGTCCAGTCCGTCTTTGACAACATGCCATCCTAATTAGTATGATTATATAATGTTCATCCTAATTAGTATTCTTTTGTAGTCGTATGGTAAGCTATTCAGAACACTCGTTGTCGTGTTTTATCAGACTTATCAGATATAAAACGCTCGGCTGCTCCTCGCGTTTTATATCTGATAAAACACTCCTATTCGATCGTGTTTTAAATAGTACCTAGACGACCCAAACTTGAACTTAATGAGTTAGTTTCTATACCAAATTCTCCCCTAATTGATGGTTTACATAATGAGAAAACTTTTTTACTCCAAATTTTTCTACAGACCGTTTTAAAAACTCTTTTATCGTTAGTAATTGTCTTAGCTGTCGTATAAATACGATCCTCAATTTTTTTTACATGACCCTCGACTTTTTTTAATTATATGACCCTCGATTATTTTTACCCTTACCCTCGACATTGGACCCTCGTCTCGTCCCTCGACACTCAATATCCCACCGTGGACAAAAACCTAAACTCGTAGTAGACAATAGTTACGGGAACCACTGAGTATTTTTATAAAATACAAAAGGACAGTAACTCCAAATAACATTTTGTAGCTTTAATGAATCTACGTTTCGACTAACGTAGATTCATTAAAGCTACAAAATGTTATTTGGAGTTACTGTCCTTTTGTATTTATATATATATATATATATTAATTAAATATTAAAACATAATCTTAATTGAGTTTAATTAATAGAATATTAGTGCATCTCAAAGCCGCGTGACAATAATTAGACCGTTGGGTATGTTGGAAGACTAGCAACTGTGTTAGACTTTCAATGTATTCAATAAAATGACAGAATTTGTTCAAACGTTTCCTGAGTGGTCAAACATTGTCCAACATTATTAGCCCGATAACGTTGGAGAATGGCTGCTGAATAGTTTAAACAAGCCTAATTATGAGTCAATTCTGATTGGTTACTTTGCAGATTTACATAAATTTTTAAGGTAATAGCATAAAAAGAAGCGAATTAGCTATTGAAACGTCCCGCCCGATGAGGATCGTTTAGTAAAATTTCCTTGGACGCCGCTCGATTCGGGTCATTTAGTAAAATTTTACTAAATGACCCTCATCAAGTGGCGCCCAAGGGAATTATACTAAACAACCCTCATCGGGCGGGACGTTTTAATAGCTAATTCGCTTCTTTTTATGCTATTACTTATAAATGTATCCTGCCTTCGTGAAGATTTACTTGCTGCCTGTAGCAATATTGTGTTCCACTTTTATGGTATCGCATGAAATTACATTTGATGCAGTCGTCGGTAAATACATCCAACATATTTTAGACGAATTTTCAAAAAATCCAACTTCTGGCACATTTGACAATATCATTAATCCGAAACTATGTGGAAACGAGAAAGCAGAGTTCTTTTTGCCAAAAATCTTTATCTGGTGCCCTATTACTCACTATAGTCTGAAGCTACATTGTCCAGAGCACAATACTGTTCTTGAGCCGGCCTTGTGGACAAATCTCGTGGAAACGAAGAGTCCACGCAACCCATGTTTAGTTTACGACCTGAACGGAAATGTTCTGCTGGTGCAAAGATTTTATTTTTGCCGCTATGGAAAACATAGGTATTTATCATCTTCTCCTGAAATTTTAAGAATTATTCCAAATCTTTACTCTGCAGAATGTTTTCCAATCAAAGTACTTTATAGGTCTGCGTTTTCTAAACAGGCTGTTGATTATGTGACATCTCAGGTTTCGCAAGGAGTCAACTTCCTTCAAATAAGTGAGGCAATTGCAACTCTACACTTTAAGGACTATTGTCGTAGAGGTAATACATATATCACGAGCCTTCTTCATGAAAATAGCCATCCCTTACAACATGACTTCAAAGCAGAGAATTTTTTCAACGACGCGTTATTTGCATATCCAAGCAACGATTTGCTGATGCGAATCTTTCTCGAAGATTTTCAGGATAAGAAAGTATTTTACGAAAACGAGTTGAAAAAAACAACTGCCACAATTCTCTCATTTGATCATACTTTCAAGGTGAGCAAGCATATTGGAATTATCAGAGATAACGATGCAAAGTTTGTTGGACAATTTTCAAACTTATTTGTGGGGCTTAATGAAAACAAAGAAATAGTGACATGGTGTCTAACACGTTCAACAAAATTTGAGCATATAGAGAACAATCTTAAGGAACTAAAGGGACGATTAGACAAAGCCGGTGTTACAGCTCGAGCTATCTTCGTAGATGATTGTTGCAAAGTGAGAGGCAAATACCAATCAGTTTTTGGTGCTGAACAAGTAGTAAAACTTGATTTGTTTCATGCCGTGCAGCGCATTACCAGTACTGTGCGTAAAGGGACGGAAATGTCTAAAAAGTTTGCCAATGAATTTGGCTTAGTTTTCAGAAATAATGCAGACTTGGGACAAACCAGGAACATGCCTACACCACCACCCAACGTAATTGAAGAAAATATAGAGAACTTTGAGCGAAGATTGAAACATGTGCTGGATTTACCTGAATATGAGAAAACAAAAAACGAAATAAATAAAATTAAAATACACGTTCGCAAAGGATGCCTTTCGGATATTAATCCAGGAGAAGGAACTTCTATGAATGAAAATTTACATCATTTTATAAATAGATGTCTTCTATGTGGATCGTCAACAATCGGTCCAGAATTGGCAACTGCTGTACTGACCATTCTTTTCTACACAATAAACAGCAAACGAAAACGATATCACCATGACAAAAATACCAGGACGCACGTATCTATTCCAATTGAATCCGTGCTGCAATGCGGCAAGGAACCGGCTGTCAGTTCAAAAAGTAATTTGGACAAAACCAATTCTGATCAAAATATATTGGTAAATCAAGAAACCGAAACTGAGTCCCAAACGAAGCCTGTGGAATCACCTTTACTTCTGGTTGGTGACTCAGTTGACGATTTTTGCCAAGTAGATGTTGCCGAAACCATACTTAAACATTCAAATGAAATGCTCAATGTACTGGAGCGAATAAACACTGCGAACCAAAACCGTTCATTTAATGTGTTTGATACTCCATTGCTGCAACTAAAAGGATTGAATAACATAGTATACACAGAAACAATTGATCAACAGCTTGTAGATGATATAGTTAAGCAAAATACGTTAGTCAGAAACCTATCAGGCTTGGGACTAGAAGTAGACATCGTGGAAGGTGATGGTAATTGCTGTTTTGTGAGCATTTTACGTCAGATTTCAAATCTTCTTACTACCTTGCCACCATTAACAAGAGAAACTGTTGAGGGACATTTACGCTCTCTTGGATTGTTTATGCACGACTCTCTTGGCATCGAAGATCCATATATTTTACGCCAACTTTTTGTTGACCATGTTCATGAGTTTGTTGACGAATATGCTACCATGCTTGGGATGGATCATACTGAACTGATTAACGAGACAGAACAGTTCAGGAATTCAGGCGTATTTTATAGTGATGTCGGGGATATTGTTGTGAAAGTATGCTCCGAGATCCTCAACGTGTCAATTGTTGTTGTAACATCTATGGATGCGGCTCCATATATTCCATTCCTTCCAGCACGGTTTTGTTGCGAGTACCCTATTTTTGTAGCTTATTCGAGTAGCGGACTTGGTCACTATAATTCAACGAAGCCATTACGTTATGTTAGCTGTGAAGGTATGTTATGACAATGTGATTTTCAAAGAATACTAACAATATTTCGTATATATTTCGTACTGCAGGGTTTATAAAAAAAAAACTGAACAGATTTGAAATTGCTCTCAATTTCGCAAAACACCTATTTGTATCTGTTTTTATATATATAGCTTCTTTGGGTACTTATAATGTAAAATAATGAAAAAAATTTCTCGAACTCAAATTTTGTGAACCAGAGGAGTGTGTCTTTCCCAACAAACTAAAAATGGCTCGCGCACAAAATTTAAAAGCTGTAATCATATTTTGAGTTAAATCTGTCGGGTTTTTAATTACTGTACAACATTTCAGACAATTTGGTTTAGTTTAAGCCTTTAACTATTCATTTTGTTCTAAAAAGTCAGCATTTCGCATGCTTAATTAATGCCTTTACCTAATTTGCATATTGCTGACATATGCAAATTAGCGAAAGGCATTAATTAAGCATGCAAATAGCTGATTTTTCGAAGATATAGATGTTTCCTATCTTCCACCATATGATAATATTCTTTCCATTACATATACAAATTATTCATTACCCAATTATATAGTCTCGAAATGAATAAATCTATCAACAATTTAAAATAGTTGAATTGTTTTTAGACTCATCAAAGAAAAATCCAAACCGGGGTTTAACACGTTGCACCTGTGGAAAAAATAGCAAGCGGGAACAGGCCGAAGTCGTTCATTGCGTACGAAATGAATCGTCACGTTGTCCGTGTGCTGCTAATGGAGATGTGTGTTCCAGAGAATGCAAATGCAAAGGCTGCCAAAACAAGGAGAAAATAACTACCGTCCAATCAACTTCGAATGTTATAAGTTGCTCTTGTGGTAAAGGAAAAAAGAAATCTGATCCCCTATACAAATCCTGTACGGACGGTGTAAGGAAGTCCAAATGTAGGTGCCTTAAGAATGGTTGGAAATGTACGAGTGCATGCGACTGTTACAACTGCCATAATCAAACAAAAGAGCTTCCAGTACCAACGCAGAATGATGAAACGAAAAGTGGAAAACGAAAAAGGGTAAATCCGTCGCCGTACAAAAGAGCGAAAAGCAAAGAATATTTAAAAAAGGAAATGGGACACGAACCATTGCAAGGATCTTGGACACACTTTGAAACGTTCGTTCTAGTAAGTATTTTGTCTTTGCTTTCGACGTTACCTTTGTCACCATCTATTAACGACATAGCTAAGCTGTACAATTTCATTGCTGACTACGACAAAAAATGGCAGAAAAACGAACACCGAGCAAAGATACGAGCGAAATCAACGGCACAAATGAGCGGGAAAGTATCTAATATTCAAGATATTCAAGAAATAAATGAGTCCTTACAGCAGACTGAATAAAAGATGTTGTAAACCATAAAAGATAAATACAAAACAATAGTAACTCTTAAAACGCATTGAACATTTTGAACATTTTGAAAAGCGTCTATTCAAAAAAATGCATTAAAAACCGTTTCAGAGTTACCATTGTTTCCATTTAATTAAATACTAAGTGATTCATGCAATTAATTACAAATTAGTGATGCAATCCATATACAGCTAATAGCCCGTTACCCTTATTGCGTATTCTGAATACAACTACCAGCATGCTTTTCGGACATGTTATTTCATAATGAAGAAAATACCCGCAAAGTATCATGGTAGTTGTATTCAGAATACGTAATAAGGGGCACCAGCTATTCAAAAAAGCTTGCCCTTTGCAAACCTTAAACTCTAAGCGCGCAAAGCCTAATGGGAGCACGAGATGTAATTAATATATGAACAACGAGAGCGAGTGTTTCACCGGGATATCCAAACACGAGAAAACAATGTATATGGCTTCTCAAATGAATCGAGACGTAACAGAATGTTTTCGTTTGCTAATTTGAATATAATTCTTAACCAAGCATAACGTCATTTTGCATGCGTAATTAAGATATTTAATGAAAACACTAGTGACTTTCATCAAGTTTCACCGGGTTATCCAAATGACATCTAGTGTTATCAAATAGGTGATTATCATTGGCTGAATTGCTCATGAATTATTAATGAATTTGAAATTCAACCTTCAAGATTAGTTATTGAATCTTGCATCTATTTGTTAATGAGTTGTTTTCGTAAGGCCACGAGATATTTACCATGTCTCGAAGATATGGGTCCTATATATGATTTCTCATTAACTAAACTGGTTAAATCATGCTCCCATTAAGCTTTGCTCGCTTAGAGTTTAAATTTTAAGGTTTAGAGTTTAAGTACTACCTTTTTTGAATTATCTGCATATGAAATTATTGATATTTTTATTGATTTGTTGGAAATTATACAAGTTCAACCTCAAAAACAATTGCCAAGAAATTGTTATTGTCGCGATATATTTTATATGCTGTATACATAAATTATTGTCTAGATTAACAAAATATTACTCAACGATTAACTGATTTATATACGTTGCTTGGAATTTATTTTTGAAATTTATTTAGTTTTTTAATCAGTTTTATTCACTTAATAATTTGTTTTGATAATACTATTCATATTTTTCCTATTGTGTTATTTTAGTTCAAATACTAGTTACACTATGGGGCCATTCACAAAATATTACGCTTTTTATGCCATTTTCTTTATTACCCCTCCATACATCCTTTGCAAGCAATAGACCCCAACATAAAATACCCGACTCTGAGCCAACCACCCCCCAAAAAACATACCTACAAAACCCAAATTTAATACGCAACAACCGCTTCAAAACGTTATCAATAAATCAACACTATTTCAATACCTCAGCCCAAACAGTTTCCCACTCGGGTTTTCTGTTCGTTGTCTAATGCAGTCTAATGCAATCTAATACATGCTAAAGCAATCTAATGCAGTCTAATGCAGTCTAATACAGTCTAATGGAGTCTAATGCAGTCTAATGCAGTCTAATGCAGTCTAATGCAGTCTAATGCATGCTAAAGCAGTCTAATGTAGTCTAATGCAGTCTAATGCAGCCTAATGCAGGGTAATGCAGGGTAATGCAGTCTAATGCAGTCTAATGCAGGGTAATGCAGTCCAATACAATCTAATGCAGGGTAATGCAGGCTAATGCATGCTAAAGCAGTCTAATGCAGTCTAATGCAGGGTAATGCACCCTAATGCACCCTAATGCAGTCTAATGCAGTCTAATGCACCCTAATGCAGTCTAATGCAGTCTAATGCAGGGTAATGCAGTCTAATGCAGTCTAATGCAGTCTAATGCAGTCTAATGCACCCTAATGCACCCTAATGCAGTCTAATGCAGGGTAATGCAGTCTAATGCAGTCTAATGCAGTCTAATGCAGTCTAATTCCGACTAATGCACCCTAATGCAGTCTAATGCACCCTAATGCAGTCTAATGCAGTCTAATGCAGGGTAATGCACCCTAATGCACCCTAATGCAGTCTAATGCACCCTAATGCAGTCTAATGCAGTCTAATGCAGTCTAATGCAGGGTAATGCACCCTAATGCAGTCTAATGCAGTCTAATGCATGCTAAAGCAGTCTAATGCAGTCTAATGCAGTCTAATGCAGGGTAATGCAATCTAATGCAGTCTAATGCAGGGTAATGCAGTCTAATGCAGGGTAATGCAGTCTAATGCAGTCCAATGCAGTCTAATGCAGGGTAATGCAGTCTAATGCAGGGTAATGCAGTCCAATACAGTCTAATACAGGGCAATGCAGTCTAATGCACCCTAATGCAGTCTAATGCAGGGTAATGCAGTCCAATACAGTCTAATGCAGGGCAATGCAGTCTAATGCACCCTAATGCAGTCTAATGCAGGGTAATGCACCCTAATGCACCCTAATGCACCCTAATGCAGTCTAATACAGTCTAATTCAGTCTAATGCAGGGTAATGCAGTCTAATGCAGTCTAATGCAGTCTAATGCAGGCTAATGCACCCTAATGCAGTCTAATGCAGTCTAATGCAGTCTAATGCAGTCTAATGCAGGGTAATGCACCCTAATGCACCCTAATGCAGTCTAATGCAGCCTGATGCAGTCTAATGCAGTCTAATGCAGTCTAATGCAGTCTAATGCAGGGTAATGCACCCTAATGCAGTCTAATGCAGTCTAATGCAGTCTAATGCAGTCTAATGCAGGGTAATGCACCCTAATGCACCCTAATGCAGCCTGATGCAGTCTAATGCAGTCTAATGCAGTCTAATGCAGGGTAATGCACCCTAATGCACCCTAATGCAGTCTAATGCAGTCTAATGCAGTCTAATGCAGTCTAATGCAAGGTAATGCACCCTAATGCACCCTAATGCAGTCTAATGCAGCCTGATGCAGTCTAATGCAGTCTAATGCAGTCTAATGCATCCTAATGCAGGATAATGCAGTCCAATACAGTCTAATGCAGGGTAATGCAGTCTAATGCACCCTAATGCACCCTAATGCAACCTAATGCAGTGTAATACAGCCTAATGCACCCTAATGCAGTCCAATACAGTGTAATGCAGGGTAATGCAGTCTAATGCACCCTAATGCAGTGTAATACAGTCTAATTCAGTCTAATGCAGGGTAATGCAGTCTAATGCAGTCTAATGCAGTCTAATGCAGGGTAATGCACCCTAATGCAGTCTAATGCAGTCTAATGCAGTCTAATGCAGTCTAATGCAGGGTAATGCACCCTAATGCACCCTAATGCAGCCTGATGCAGTCTAATGCAGTCTAATGCAGTCTAATGCAGGGTAATGCACCCTAATGCACCCTAATGCAGTCTAATGCAGTCTAATGCAGTCTAATGCAGTCTAATGCAAGGTAATGCACCCTAATGCACCCTAATGCAGTCTAATGCAGCCTGATGCAGCCTGATGCAGTCTAATGCAGTCTAATGCATCCTAACGCAGGATAATGCAGTCCAATACAGTCTAATGCAGGGTAATGCAGTCTAATGCACCCTAATGCACCCTAATGCAACCTAATGCAGTGTAATACAGCCTAATGCACCCTAATGCAGTCCAATACAGTGTAATGCAGGGTAATGCAGTCTAATGCACCCTAATGCAGTGTAATACAGCCTAATGCACCCTAATGCAGTCCAATACAGTGTAATGCAGGGTAATGCAGTCTAATGCACCCTAATGCAGTGTAATACAGCCTAATGCAACCTAATGCAGTGTAATACAGCCTAATGCAACCTAATGCAGTGTAATACAGCCTAATGCAACCTAATGCAGTGTAATACAGTGTAATGCAGGGTAATGTAGTCTAATGTAGCCTAATGTAGTACTAATGCAGTGCAATGCATGACAATGCAGTCTAATGCAACATAGATATATACATATAGTGTCCCTCCCTCTCGCCATTTTTGGGACCTTATAATAGGCATACATAAAGTACTTCCCTGTAATCCTGTAATTCTGTTTTTTGACAGAAACTCTTTTAAAATTACTTCAAAACTCTAGCTGTCTTCTTATATCTCTCGATATCTTTCTTACATAAACATATTTCATGAATTTTAGTTCTGGAAGCTAGACCTCCGCCCCCTCTCCCTCCAGGATATTTTGCTGGAAATGGATAATTATAAACTCAGTTTCAGGCCAATTAATTTCGATAAAATGATTATTATGATTTAAATTAATTTTGAAAGTTTGAGTTGGTTTTGTTATCACCACACAATTTTTTCCACTGCATATTTTTACTGTTTACCACGGCACACTTTCCTGTCATCACTGACACCAAAATGGCAGATTGCATTTATTTTTTGCATATTGGGGAGGGGGGGGGGAGGGTTGAGGACATCTTTTTACCAGCTAAATTTACCTGGAATTTAGTTTATAACCCCCTTCTCTGGAAATGAGCCTGGATTTTGGTCTCTAATCACCCCTACCCCTGGATTTTCCAAGGCCTTTTTTACACCCCTCCACTGGATTTTCCATTGTCCTCACCAATCGCGGAAATCTTGGTGGGGCGGGGGGGCGACCGCCCCCCCCCCCACCTTCACGGAAAATTGACGAATTTTCGGAAATTGTGACCTAAAAGAGGGCTAAAAACAGTCTTTTCGAGTGCAAATGAGGGGGGGGAGGGTACGTCGGAAATTTGAAAGTTTTGTCGTAAATTTAGGAGGCTTTGCCCCCCCCACCGGAAAAAAGTGAATTTCCGCCACTGGTCTTCACCACCCCCCCCCCTGTGCGGAATTTAAATGTAATCTGCAAATCAGGTATGAATAATTGTTATGACTTATAACTATGTTTCTACTTTACACGAGATAGGTGTATTTTAACATCTTAAATTTGAACCTTGAAATTTTTACTGTAAATGTCGCATGTTATTTAACTTATTTGGCAAAGTTAAATAAATACATGTTTCTGTCTTCGTTCTCCTAAACCACCATCAACATTTAAA